TGGATTGCATAACATCCAGTAAAGTTTTGGGAAATTTGAGTTTTCGTGCAAGGCTTTTGCTTTGCCCATTCCATGTAGATAACAAGTCTTTTAGAATAGTTATTTCCTGTAGAGATGATTATTTCCTATTAGGCGGATCGGAGATCGCTATGGTCGGTGCCTCTGCATGACGACTTGATGGGTCGCATGCTGGCACGGCTGGTTGGCAATTATGGCTTGATGGGCCACAACGTTGTCAATCGGTTTGGACGAAGACAAGCAGTCTGATGTCCGCCAGAACCGATTTCCAACATGGTACAAAGAGTTCTGTACGTGGGTTTTGTACCGGCCTTTCTGGATTGCAAACATCCAGTAAAGGTTTGGGAAATTTGAGTTTTCGTGCAAGGCTTTTGCTTTGCCCATTCCATGTAGATAACAAGTCTTTTAGAATAGTTATTTCCTGTAGAGATGATTATTTCTTATTAGGCGGATCGGAGATCGCTATGGTCGGTGCCTCTGCATGACGACTTGATGGGTCGCATGTTGGCACGGCTGGTTGGCAATTATGGCTTCATGGGCCACAAAGTTGTCAATCGGTTTGGACGACGACAAGCCTACCGCGGGTGCATTAAATCTGCCATGTTGTGGTGGCTCATGTTGTCGGAGTTTCTCATCAAAGATGGATTCGAATTGAACCCTTACGATTCTTGTGTGGCGAACAAGACGCTCTCCTGCGGAACCCAAATCACTATTTGCTGGTACGTGGACGACTTAAAGATTTCGTCGAAGAATGAACAAGCGGTACACGACATAATTAAAAAACTAGAAGATCGTTTCGGAGAAATGCGTAAAAGCTTCGGAAAGAAACACACCTATTTAGGAATGGAAGTGGAGTTCTGCGATGATGGTTCCGTGCGACTTAGTGTCCCGGACCACATCAAAGAATGCATCGAAGATTTCAGCGAAGACTTAGGGCGCTCTGTGGCAAACCCAGGACCCCCCGCAACTCGTCTGTCGCCCGACCGTTTCTGGATTTAGCAAGTCCGACTTGTTTGACTACTAAATAGTTTTTAAACACACCCCTGGGCTGGGGCATTGCAACGGAAAAAACATTGTTTTGACCGGTTTCGTGTCGCAGTGACTTGTTTCGATTTCTTTGATCGGTTTCAAAATAACTTGACCTGTTTCGTGTCGCAGTGACTTGTTTCGATTTCTTTGACCGGTTTCAAAATAGCTTGACCGGTTTTGTGTCGCAGTGACTTGTTTCGATTTCTTTGATCGGTTTCGCTTGATCGGTTTCGTTTGTTTCGATTTCTTTGATTGGTTTCAAATTGTGACATCATTTTTGACTACTCCAACGGACTATTGTGTAAGAAAGAATCATTGTGGAACTACCATCGGAGATCAAGAGAGCCAAAGCACATGAGCACCTACAATACACCCGACTGGCTCTTCAAGAACTCTCAAGAGACACGAAAATTTCAACAGTCTGTTGAAGCAAAACAAGATCTTGAAGACGCGATTTTGACACAACGGAGACAGATTTGCTTCAGCTTTCGAGGCTTGTTGCGTCTTGGCTCAGTATTCAATCACAAGAGAGGTGTCACTATACGATACTTTGATCGGGGATGCTGTAGATACTTATGAAGGCGATAAATAGAAACTCTTGAGTTGTAGGGCCATTGTATTTACTTTGCATCTCGTTTTAGTAGTCATCTTTATCCGCTTCATCTCTTGATTCAGCATATTCGGGTAGTTCCTCTTCATCCACATTATTTTGATTGTCGTATTTATCCTCTTCTTCCAGAACTGTTTGCCACTTGGCGGATTTGGCTGTTCGGGCTTGGTGAATCTCGTCAGGATCTCAGCTATGGCACCTTTCCTCGGTCGAAGGTTTTCTACCTTTCCATTTTTCAAGTTCTGAAGCTCGTATTTGTGAGGTTTGCAATGGTCCATAACGTAGGTTCAATCCTACTGTACTGTGACTTGGATTGACATGATTTTCAATTTATCTCGTGACTCATTTTCTTGACGTGTTTCGATTTCAAAATAGCTTGATTGACCGGTTTTGTGTCGCAGTGACTTGTTTTGATTTCTTTGATCGGTTTCAAAATAGCTTGACCGGTTTCGTGTCACAGTGACTTGTTTCGATTTCTTTGATTAGTTTCAAAATAGCTTGACCGGTTTTGTGTCGCAGTGACTTGTTTTGATTTCTTTGACCGGTTTCAAAAAGTCATTTCAATTTATGAGGGGTTCCCTGCTGATGGGGGGGAAAGACCCGTGCGCAGTAATCTCGTCCGACGCACAAAAATTGGTGGATAGACAGACAAGTTGCGGGGAGTCCAGGTACCGTATGTAGAGAGATGTACCGGTAGATGTCAGATGACACCTGATACCTACATCTCATGATCCAAAATTTTGCTCTTGTGGTGATACTATAGATCATTAATTGATTATGTGGTTCCTGTACCCATAGATCATTTTAAATAGTGTCATTCAAACGATCACAGATTTGCCGAAGGAATGTTTATTGGGGGCGACAATGCTTATCCGCTTTCCGATTATCTAGTTGTCCCCTTCAGCGGTGCAGACAGATTTGACGAAGACAAAAGAACCCTCAACTTCTTTCTGTCACAGCCTCGTATTCGAATCGAAATGGCCTTTGGTCGCTTGACAACAAAATGGCGTATCTTTCGCAGCAATCTAAACTTCTCCCTGGAAAAGGATATCCGTATTTGCAACGTCGCTTCACGCCTTCACAATTTTGTGATTGACCAGCAAGAAATTGAAGATCTAGGAAGTCTAGAAGGGACAGAGACCACGGATCAACTTAGAACCATGGGTGGAATTGAACAATTTTCAGATCCTCGGTCTCCCGACAATCTTGGTTTTCTACCCAACCACGAACATCCAGAACAACTTGCAGAAAGGCCTCCTCAGAATAATCAACAGGATGAAGGAACGGACGACTTAATGGATGGAGCGATGGATGAATGGAGGATGAAGCATCAGTCATCTACACCAATTCAAGCAGGCGCGATTCCATTTTGGACGATATCCAGGATTTGGAACTAGAACTTCCAGATAAGAATCGATCAAGAAACGACAATTAAAATAGTAAAATGTCTAGCAATTTAAATGATACTACTATCTACTACTCAGCAATGGTTATTGAAATCGACTACTACTAGTCGGAGTCCGAGTCAAAATTCACACATTTTTCATACGTACTTTCCAAGTAGGATGCAGAATGATGTTAGATTCAATTGGCTTTATAGTCCAATTGCAAGAAGATTCCAACTTACCATTGTTGCTAGCGTTCTGTTTGCTTTTGCAGTTTGATATTCTTGTACTTTGGTAGCAATGAATTCACAATAATCTCCTTTCTTCATGTCTGCTTTCTTCATTTCTGTAGGCGATCCGAGATTCAGTCTTGATACCCCCACCAATTTCCACAAGAGGTCAACAGGAATGTCTTTGATCACAACACCAGCAATAGACCGAAGTCTGGTCAGCCTGTCTCGTGCCTTGGTGAACCGGTTTATCGCAACCTGATCTATGACAATGTTGTCGAAAGTAGCTGCTTCGGGTTTTGCTTGCAAAGACATTGTTGCTGTCGTTGCCTCAATTCCTGTAGTAGCTGTAGCTGTTAGAAGTAAGCGATCCAGTGCCGCCTGCAATCTACCTGTTTCAATTGACTGCGATTTAGCTGTCCAGGTATTGTTGCCTTCTAAGTATGTGAATTTACAGTATATAGAAGTATATAGATCAATCAGAGATCCTACTTTATCAACCAATTCACTCGTTGCTTGCAATATATTATAAAAAGTGAGAATAGTCTGTCAACTTCTGACTTTGACTCTTTCTTCTCCAGCTCAGTGGAAATTCTTAGAATTCTCTCTACGTCAGCCTGACATGCTGCAAGTTCAATCTGTTTATCCGTTCACATTCCACTGTAGTCGGTACTTTGATTAGTATCCAACTTTGGCTCTTACTTGAGTCTTGCTTTCTTACATCATCAACAGGATGATTTCCATAGAAATATAATTCGTTTTCTGACTCGCCACGCTCGATGTTTTTAGTCGTATCAGTCGACATCATTTCTCTATCGTTCACATGCATTCTCTTTTTCTCGTTTCTCCAAATATGTACTTCGAAAATCCTAATATATCCAACAGTAGCTGCTGTTGTAGTTGTAGTTGGTGTTGGTGTTGGTGTTGCTACTTGTCGAACTCCCACATCGTGTGTTGCCAGAACGTCGCTTCCGCCGCATTCCTTGGAACAGTACCATTGACCGTCTTCCAGGCTAATTGACATCAACATATTTTCCTGTACACACAAGTTGTGGACTCCGCATTTACATTGAATGCAAGCATGATTCGGATTGAGAGAGTCATATTTGCAGTTTCGGATGCTGCAAAAGCCATTTGAATGTGATACTGCAACTTTGGCCCAAACTCTTCTATCGACTAATTTGGCAGCAGTATTTTCCTTGGCCAGCGGGTGGTAATGTTTTCGCGCTGTAATTCTGTTTGTTCAAACCAATGTTGTAATGAAGGTTATCATCGTCCTCGCTATCGGAGTCTAATGGAAGAATTGACAAGGCATTCATCATGATACACTAGTGAAAAGAGCAGAAGATCAAGTGCAATGGAGTCTTTTCGTATTATTTTGATGCGATTGCTCATCCTTCTCAATCGCTTTGGATTTCGCAGACTCCAATGGGGCCTAAAAGAGTTTCAATGATGTTTTTGGGCTGACAGTTGTTACTAGCTGTTGGCCCCCAATCCCCCAGCGCAAGCGCTGGTTTCCTCCAAGGGTGAGGTGGGACTAGGGTAATCTTAATAACTATCTATTCCTAGACTTCAAATTCACTCTGTCAAATACAGAGCAGTCTTTTCAAAAGGAATGAGCTGCAACTGAGCTGCAGCTCCTTCACCAACTTCTTTCACAACCTCTTTGGTACGTAGCTTTCCACTGTCCTGCTACTGTACCTTCTTTGCATACGTACTTGGGCGTTCCGATCAGTCCGTCCTTCGCTAGCCAACACCTGCAGTGTTTCGAACTGATTTGTCGTGTTTCGATTCGACCCAAAATAAGAACTTGGGGCCCCTAAATTTGGCTGCAAAACATAAGGGGGGAAGACTAAGGTGCGATATTATCGAACCCCTTTTCGCGTGCAGCGTGCAGCGTGCATTGCATTTTGATTTTTTTGCTGCAGAATGCATGCTTGTTTCAAAAATTTGGCCTGCATGCATTGTAGTAGTCGCATAGGTCAAACGGCTCATTACTCGTATACATACTATACTAATTTATAAATTCAACATGTTGTGAAACGGTATTTTCATACTTTTCACTGATACCATCGTTTTTTCGGGCATAGTCACCGCCACGGTCTGAATATCCAAGCAATTTGCGGCGAAACTTCGATTCATTTACTTCACTGTGGCTGCTCCAGGATCGACTGGCGATGCCAGAGCATTCAAACGTTGTGAAGAGCTTTTGCAGTGGATCACAGATTTGCCGAAGGAATGTTTATTGGGGGCGACAATGCTTATCCGCTTTCCGATTATCTAGTTGTAGCAATGAATTCACAATAATCTCCTTTCTTCATGTCTGCTTTCTTCATTTCTGTAGGCGATCCGAGATTCAGTCTTGATACCCCCACCAATTTCCGCAAGAGGTCAACAGGAATGTCTTTGATCACAACACCAGCAACAGACCGAAGTCTGGTCAGCCTGTCCCGTGCCTTGGTGAACCGGTTTATCGCAACCTGATCTATGACAATGTCGTCGAAAGTAGCCGCTTCGGGTTTTGCTTGCAAAGACATTGTTGCTGTTGTTGCCTCAATTCCTGTAGTAGCTGTAGCTGCTGTTGTAGTTGTAGTTGGTGTTGGTGTTGCTACTTGTCGAACTCCCACATCGTGTGTTGCCAGAACGTCGCTTCCGCCGCATTCCTTGGAACAGTACCAGTGACCGTCTTCCTTGCTATTTGACATCAACATATTTTCCTGTACACACAAGTTGTGGACTCCGCATTTACATTGAACGCAAGCATGATTCAGATTGAGAGAGTCATATTTGAAGTTTCGGATGCTGCAAAAGCCATTTGAATGTGATACTGCAACTTTGGCCCAAACTCTTCTACCGACTAATTTGGCAGCAGTATTTTCCTTGGCCAGCGGGTGGTAATGTTTTCGCGCTGTAATTCTGTTTGTTCAAACCAATGTTGTAATGAAGGTTATCATCGTCCTCGCTATCGGAGTCTAATGGAAGAATTGACAAGGCATTCATCATGATACACTAGTGAAAAGAGCAGAAGATCAAGTGCAATGGAGTCTTTTCGTATTATTTTGATGCGATTGCTCATCCTTCTCAATCGCTTTGGATTTCGCAGACTCCAATGGGGCCTAAAAGAGTTTCAATGATGTTTTTGGGCTGACAGTTGTTACTAGCTGTTGGCCCCCAATCCCCCAGCGCAAGCGCTGGTTTCCTCCAAGGGTGAGGTGGGACTAGGGTAATCTTAATAACTATCTATTCCTAGACTTCAAATTCACTCTGTCAAATACAGAGCAGTCTTTTCAAAAGGAATGAGCTGCAACTGAGCTGCAGCTCCTTCACCAACTTCTTTCACAACCTCTTTGGTACGTAGCTTTCCACTGTCCTGCTACTGTACCTTCTTTGCATACGTACTTGGGCGTTCCGATCAGTCCGTCCTTCGCTAGCCAACACCTGCAGTGTTTCGAACTGATTTGTCGTGTTTCGATTCGACCCAAAATAAGAACTTGGGGCCCCTAAATTTGGCTGCAAAACATAAGGGGGGAAGACTAAGGTGCGATATTATCGAACCCCTTTTCGCGTGCAGCGTGCAGCGTGCATTGCATTTTGATTTTTTTGCTGCAGAATGCATGCTTGTTTCAAAAATTTGGCCTGCATGCATTGTAGTAGTCGCATAGGTCAAACGGCTCATTACTCGTATACATACTATACTAATTTATAAATTCAACATGTTGTGAAACGGTATTTTCATACTTTTCACTGATACCATCGTTTTTTCGGGCATAGTCACCGCCACGGTCTGAATATCCAAGCAATTTGCGGCGAAACTTCGATTCATTTACTTCACTGTGGCTGCTCCAGGATCGACTGGCGATGCCAGAGCATTCAAACGTTGTGAAGAGCTTTTGCAGTGGATCACAGATTTGCCGAAGGAATGTTTATTGGGGGCGACAATGCTTATCCGCTTTCCGATTATCTAGTTGTAGCAATGAATTCACAATAATCTCCTTTCTTCATGTCTGCTTTCTTCATTTCTGTAGGCGATCCGAGATTCAGTCTTGATACCCCCACCAATTTCCGCAAGAGGTCAACAGGAATGTCTTTGATCACAACACCAGCAACAGACCGAAGTCTGGTCAGCCTGTCCCGTGCCTTGGTGAACCGGTTTATCGCAACCTGATCTATGACAATGTCGTCGAAAGTAGCCGCTTCGGGTTTTGCTTGCAAAGACATTGTTGCTGTTGTTGCCTCAATTCCTGTAGTAGCTGTAGCTGCTGTTGTAGTTGTAGTTGGTGTTGGTGTTGCTACTTGTCGAACTCCCACATCGTGTGTTGCCAGAACGTCGCTTCCGCCGCATTCCTTGGAACAGTACCAGTGACCGTCTTCCTTGCTATTTGACATCAACATATTTTCCTGTACACACAAGTTGTGGACTCCGCATTTACATTGAACGCAAGCATGATTCAGATTGAGAGAGTCATATTTGAAGTTTCGGATGCTGCAAAAGCCATTTGAATGTGATACTGCAACTTTGGCCCAAACTCTTCTACCGACTAATTTGGCAGCAGTATTTTCCTTGGCCAGCGGGTGGTAATGTTTTCGCGCTGTAATTCTGTTTGTTCAAACCAATGTTGTAATGAAGGTTATCATCGTCCTCGCTATCGGAGTCTAATGGAAGAATTGACAAGGCATTCATCATGATACACTAGTGAAAAGAGCAGAAGATCAAGTGCAATGGAGTCTTTTCGTATTATTTTGATGCGATTGCTCATCCTTCTCAATCGCTTTGGATTTCGCAGACTCCAATGGGGCCTAAAAGAGTTTCAATGATGTTTTTGGGCTGACAGTTGTTACTAGCTGTTGGCCCCCAATCCCCCAGCGCAAGCGCTGGTTTCCTCCAAGGGTGAGGTGGGACTAGGGTAATCTTAATAACTATCTATTCCTAGACTTCAAATTCACTCTGTCAAATACAGAGCAGTCTTTTCAAAAGGAATGAGCTGCAACTGAGCTGCAGCTCCTTCACCAACTTCTTTCACAACCTCTTTGGTACGTAGCTTTCCACTGTCCTGCTACTGTACCTTCTTTGCATACGTACTTGGGCGTTCCGATCAGTCCGTCCTTCGCTAGCCAACACCTGCAGTGTTTCGAACTGATTTGTCGTGTTTCGATTCGACCCAAAATAAGAACTTGGGGCCCCTAAATTTGGCTGCAAAACATAAGGGGGGAAGACTAAGGTGCGATATTATCGAACCCCTTTTCGCGTGCAGCGTGCAGCGTGCATTGCATTTTGATTTTTTTGCTGCAGAATGCATGCTTGTTTCAAAAATTTGGCCTGCATGCATTGTAGTAGTCGCATAGGTCAAACGGCTCATTACTCGTATACATACTATACTAATTTATAAATTCAACATGTTGTGAAACGGTATTTTCATACTTTTCACTGATACCATCGTTTTTTCGGGCATAGTCACCGCCACGGTCTGAATATCCAAGCAATTTGCGGCGAAACTTCGATTCATTTACTTCACTGTGGCTGCTCCAGGATCGACTGGCGATGCCAGAGCATTCAAACGTTGTGAAGAGCTTTTGCAGTGGATCACAGATTTGCCGAAGGAATGTTTATTGGGGGCGACAATGCTTATCCGCTTTCCGATTATCTAGTTGTAGCAATGAATTCACAATAATCTCCTTTCTTCATGTCTGCTTTCTTCATTTCTGTAGGCGATCCGAGATTCAGTCTTGATACCCCCACCAATTTCCGCAAGAGGTCAACAGGAATGTCTTTGATCACAACACCAGCAACAGACCGAAGTCTGGTCAGCCTGTCCCGTGCCTTGGTGAACCGGTTTATCGCAACCTGATCTATGACAATGTCGTCGAAAGTAGCCGCTTCGGGTTTTGCTTGCAAAGACATTGTTGCTGTTGTTGCCTCAATTCCTGTAGTAGCTGTAGCTGCTGTTGTAGTTGTAGTTGGTGTTGGTGTTGCTACTTGTCGAACTCCCACATCGTGTGTTGCCAGAACGTCGCTTCCGCCGCATTCCTTGGAACAGTACCAGTGACCGTCTTCCTTGCTATTTGACATCAACATATTTTCCTGTACACACAAGTTGTGGACTCCGCATTTACATTGAACGCAAGCATGATTCAGATTGAGAGAGTCATATTTGAAGTTTCGGATGCTGCAAAAGCCATTTGAATGTGATACTGCAACTTTGGCCCAAACTCTTCTACCGACTAATTTGGCAGCAGTATTTTCCTTGGCCAGCGGGTGGTAATGTTTTCGCGCTGTAATTCTGTTTGTTCAAACCAATGTTGTAATGAAGGTTATCATCGTCCTCGCTATCGGAGTCTAATGGAAGAATTGACAAGGCATTCATCATGATACACTAGTGAAAAGAGCAGAAGATCAAGTGCAATGGAGTCTTTTCGTATTATTTTGATGTGAATTGTGAGTCGAGGTCTTCGAAACGCTATTGAGAATTGGCCAATCAAAATCATTCAATTTCAAAATGCAGGATGGATGCAGATTCCTGCAGCTCGCGGCAAAATGGATGCAGCCTGTAGGGGCACCCGGAAGTGGATTCTGCATGCTGCAAATCCGCGTGCAGGCTGCACGTTTTTTTTTTCCGATAAGTTCGCTTCTTAGCCTTTTCAAATATACGTTTCTCATTTTCAGTTACATCATATTCTTCGCAAAGATTAATTACAGCTAGTTCTGTACGAGCTTTCTTTCTTGCTGGAGGATGCCCCATTGAAGCTCGAATAGATGGAAGCTTTCTTTTAGGGTTCATGCCTGCTGTTCTTCCTTGTGATGCTGAGTTGATGTGTGTATTTTGCATTCGTTTTTGGCCCCGCGGTTTCTGATTGCTGGGACACTGGATCAATTTTTGTATATATGGATATTCATTTGCAATATTAAAAATTATATAATGGATACAGCAGAATCACGACTTATTTTATTGTTAATAAATAGGAATTCTCCGCCCTATATATGAATATATATTGTCTACTCCAATTGTGTTCTTACGTGATAAATGATTACGATCAGCGTAGACTCTACATACTTTGCCAAGGTAGCTTTTTGCGCTAAATCATCAATAATCCGTTTTCCTACGTGACGGAACCTCGTGGAGTCTACGTGTCGATGCTTTATGATGGTAACCCGGAGTGAAATGAATAGACAGCAACGTAGCAGCAGCGACGGTGGTTTGGGAATCGTTTGGCAATGGCAGGGCAGTGGGGACAGTCAATGTTCGAACGGCGTGGACAATTTGTATTCTGAATCTTCAGGAGGTATGGAGGGCAAGAAAAAGGGAGAAAACACAGAGTAGAGGACAAGGAATAGGACGCAAAAACTCAGGTTCATCGTCAAAGAAAAGAAAATTGCGGACAAGTAGCATTAAGGGAATGGCAATAGCCATAGCAATGTATAATTACCTCAGTCACATCTCATATCCATTGTATCGTTGATATGTGTACGTGCTGTCGTCTATTGTCGAAGTGGTTTACAAGGAAAAACATCTGCTGTTTGTGATGTTTGCGAAAATTATGTCGTTCTGCAAGCGAAAAATGGAAATTGGGTGCAGATATTTGGGATCACCAATTTGTAGGGAGAAATGGTGGGGTGAAGATTCGTACAAGTACTGCCGTTAAACGGAGGGTTTTTACCTAGACAAAATAAATAAAATAATGGAATTTGAATATTTTTTGAATTATTTAGATATGAGCAAAAACGGAAAAAAAGGAAGCATTCAAAGTGCCTTTTTGGCACTTCGAAGCATTCGAAGTGCCTTTTTGGCACTAAGAAACGCAAAAGGGTTAACTGAACGCAGAAATTAATCGGCTGAGGCTGAAAATGCTACAAAAAAAACTCTCCCGAACAAAAAATAAACTCAAATCCTATTTTAATAGTTTCAAGTTGATGACATATTGTTTGAGCATAAACGGAGCTTCTAGCAGATGAGTCACATTAGAGGAGCAATAGAATTTCGGTAATACTTTAGCACTCGATTCTTGGTATTATTTAATATAATACTTTTAAAATAGTTAGTTGACTTATTAGCTAGTGACAGAATTCGTTTCAAATTGGTCTTTCACTTGTTGAATCAAGACGTCGTAGAGTGGGGTTTCGTTCTCCACTTTGTATTGACAAATAACGCAAACAGCTTCAAACGCAAGCTCAAAGCGTTCTTCACTGTGACGAAAGCAATGACTCGTCACATTGAATCGCTTGATCATTCCATTGAAATTCTCTTGACGCATGAGAGCTCGTCTTTTGAATAGCGACACCCCCTTGTTGTCATGAGCATTCGGTGTGCTAATTTGTTTTTGTTCCCCATTGTAACCTCGATCTCCAATTGCTTTTTGTCCACGACGACGGAGTTCCTCGACAAGTCCTCCTGTTCGGGCTACCGTAATGTCAGACGTCCCTGCAGGGTAGGGTCCTCGCATCCACAACAAACGACCTGTGCTCAGGCATATCCCAAGCTCATACATCAACCCAGCTTTGTGATATTTGTGGCTGTAGTAGCGCCTGTTTTGACTTCAGACAGGATGTTTTGGCTCCTGTATCCAGCAGTGAATGCCGTCTACCGTCAGGACCCAGATATCATCTGTGCACAAGTCCTCCTCCCACTTGATCTTCTTGTGTTTCAACGCTCGAAGTCTCTCGATCGACTCCCAAGCCACATTTCTTGGCCAGTACATGCTGAAGCCAAATCGAGCTTCCATGTCCCTAGTGACCAGACAATATTTCATTCAGTAACCCGAGGCGCTGCAAAAAGCCATTGCAACGTACCTTTCTGTTGGATACTTCAACAAGTAATGAAGTGCAATCAAGAGATTCCTCAAATCAATTCAACTGCCCTCTACTTTGGCTTCTTCAATATCCGTTGTTTGCATGTCGTGGTAAATCTCGGCAGCAGTTACAGGAGATAAACCAAAAAATCCCTTGAAACGCTCAAAGTTCACCCGTGCCGTTGACTTCTGTAAACGTTTGCGTTTGTAGCCCACCAGTTTCAATCCAAGATACTGGATCCTCTCTGGTGTGACCACATGATTGACTGGTGCCTCGTCCAATTCGTCTACACCAGCATTGTCATCATTGTTTCTTGGCTGGGGGTCCTCCAACACCTCTGCCATTCTTGAAGTTGGGATATTGTGCCCAAAGATGACAAGAATGCCGAAGGTGAAAGATTGCAAGAGAATTCGATTTGAAACTGGGAATAGCGAAGTGACATTAAGTCTGGAAATAACAATTGGAAGTCACTTTATGTCTGGAAATAACAATTCGAAGTCACTTTAAATATGGAGATAACAATTGGAAGTAACATTTAACAAATGGGAAGTCATTTTAAGGATTCGGGACGTCACTTTAAGGTTTTACGGGCTTTTCAGTTTAACGCGCTTTCGACCCAAGCCACAACAAGGCAGCTTGTACACACGCTTCCGCGACATGGTGATGGGCATCACGCCAGTACCACCCGTGGAAGATCCCTCCTTGACTTGCCCGACATGTCAGGAGCGAGTTGGAAGTAGTATTTTTTAGGCTGGCGGACAACGTACGGACGGCGAGAATATGACCAAAATGACCAGACCAACGGTGACATGGGCAGACCGCGTTCGCGGTTTCGCAGGTGGGATTGCCAGACCAGAGTCGCTTGGTCCCGCGCATAAGAAAAAACTAGTAAATAGGTAAATCGAAGTAGCCACTGGATTGTATGAGCTGCAATGCTCATTCAATCCAGGTAACAACAAATAGATACTGGAATTAACATTCAAATAAAAGTCCTTTTATCTTTTTTAGACTAGAGGCATAGGCCTGTCTGTGTATTATAGCCCTCTCAGTAGGAGAGCTATACAGCCAGAAATTGGCCTCCAACAGATACATATATTCCATGCAAAAATGAATACAAACAAAGCGATGGGAATCTTCATAATGAAAAGATTGATCAAGATGAAATTGATGCTTTACTTGAAGAAGCGGAAGAATTTATTGAAAACTATGACAATGAGCACACCAAAAATGTTGAAGAACAGACAGAAGACAGGAGTGTTGCAAGTATTTATGAACGATTAAGATGGAGAAATGAAGATGATAATTCCGATCAAGATCCAAATCCAAATGAAAAATATCAGAATGATGAAGATTTAAATGAAAAGATTCAAGAAATTGAAGAAGACATACAAAAATACAAGGAAGATGTTGAATCACTTAACGATGAAGAACAAATCGAGGAAACCCGCGAAACATAGTATGAGGAAAATGACGATTTAATTGATCAAATTCAAGATCAAATCAAAGAATGTGAAAATCAAGTCAATGATGTTCGCAAATTTGTGGCAAATTTGGATGATAATGAGAATGAAAATGATGAATCTGACGATAATTCGGACAAATCAAGTGACGACGATAATTATGAAAATGATGAAGTGAATAAAGAGGACATATTCAGTCCAAGGAAAACCAGGAGTGGTAAATCTTATGTTCAAGATGGAATAAAAATGAGACCAACCGAACGTAATAATCAGGATCAACCAAGGTATAATCAACAATACCTGAATCAAAAGAAACCGAAGTGTAATTTGCTAAAGAACAGGAGTGCAATGAGGAAAAGAGGAAAAAGTCAAGAAATTGAAAGGTTATTTGAATGAAATAATTTCAATGAAGTCAGCGATGGAAGCTTGAACATGCAAATTTACAAGTCGACCTCGAAGATGGATTCATTGAAGCACTGTTCTCAATGGACCAAAGACAACAAGAAACCTTTCAAATCTAATGGAAGTAAGCACTGGGATATCGATCTTGGTGTACATCTTGATTCTGGATCTACGTTCAGCCTACAAATGAACGAAGATTACACCAAACCGGGCACTGTGTCTGACCTGGATTACATGTTCAACTACGGTACGGACACTGGCCAACATGACCTGCATCAACAGGTCGAATCTAGTATCATCAAAGGACACACTTGCTTGCTAGACACTGAAGCGCAATGTAACCTTGATAGTTTATCCGAGCTTGTGAAGCTTGGATTCCGTGTCGTTATGGACACTGACATTGAAAACTCCTTCATCGTTACAAAGGGGGAACAGAGAATGAGGTATGTGCATCGAAACGGATTGTATACTTTCGTGCCCGATGGTAGGGCAGAGAGTGATGAAGGGTCCGAATACTCTGAGTGTGAATACAGAGAATGCGGAAATGGTGACTGCAACGCGATCGGTGTCGCACACACTGAATGCCATAAATGTGGTGTTATTTTCTGTGGTAGAATTTTAAAAATTAGCTATTCCAATTCCAATTATTGTGGCATACAGACGGTACGGGAGAATATCAAAGGGTGCACTGATAAACAAGTTGAGCGGGCTAATCGCGCACGATCAGTGTATCATATGGCTGATGCACCAGGAGTGCAAGCGTTTTGTATTGCAGTAAGATCTGGTCTGTTCAGGAACTGCAATGTGAATGAAGAAGATGCAATCATTGCCAAAAAAATATATGGACCTGGTTCTTTGGTCCTAAAAGGAAAGACGAAACGTCCCACACCTGAAGGAGTGCAGGATGACTGGATAGAAATACCAAAGAAGTTATTAATGCACAATCTGAATGTTGTGCTGCACATTGATCTTGTTTTTGTTAACAATTCATTCGGACTCACGACCATTGATGGGAGTGTGAGATACCGGTGTTATATACCCTTGGCTTCACGATCCAAAACGGCATTGTACGACGCAATTGATAAATGCTTTCGAATATATAATGCACGTGATTTCACAGTGGAAAAGATTTACTGCGATGGGGAGTTCCGTCCGGTATTTGAACCCGTGAAAGACGAACTTGAAGTTCATATGAATTACGCCAGCAGAGGCGAACATGCTCCGAAAGCGGAACAAAATAATCAGCATTTAAAAGCACTGTTTCGGGTTCACTTTCACCGAATGCCATTCAAGGCGATTCCAAAGAAGTTAACTGTGGCACTTATGACACGAGTCGCAAAAATATCCAACTACTATCCGGCAAAAGGTGGGTTGTCTGCATACTACAGCCCGCATATGATTATGCATCAACAAATGGTTGATGCCTCCAACGAATTTGTCGCTGAGATTGGCGCCTATGTCCACGGATATGGTCATGACACCAACAATAATATGGCTGCTCGAACGATCAAAGGTGTTTACATGGGACCCACCGACGATATTCAAGAAGGGCACCGTATCTATGATCTGAACACAAAGTGCGAGGCACGACGTGCAAAAATAAAGGTTCTTCCGATGACTGACCAAGTCATCAAGATTATCGAAGACGACGCACGATTGGAAGGAGTGACAGAATTGCGCACCTATTCCAAGCAAAATGGCGAGCTAATCCTCGATGGTGATTTGCTCGCAGGAGTGGACCCAGATGAACTGTGGGATGAACACTATGTACCAGTAAACCAAATTGAAAGACTGAGTGATGTAACCCTCCAAAATGAAAACATTCCAGATGACAAACTTGATGAATTACTAATGGATGCTGAAGCAGACATCATGGAAGCGAGGTTCGACAGGGACAGAAACCCAAGATACGATAGCGAAGCAAATCAATATGAAGATGAGCTAGAGGACGAAATGTTCGACAGAATGTTCAAGAAGATTAAGGCTAAACAAGATGCTGAAGATCTGATGGACGAAGACTACCAAGAACACGAATGGATAACTGCCAATGAGGACATGGACTACGAAGACGAATACGAGTCTGAACTAGACGATGAAGAGACCAAG